AGATTTTATTTATTTATTTGAGACAGAGAGAATGAGAGAGAGAGAGAGAGCACATGAGAGGGGGGAGGGTCAGAGGGAGAAGCAGGCTCCCTGCCTAGCAGGGAGCCCGATGTGGGACTCGATCCCGGGACTCCAGGACCATGATCTGAGCTGAAGGCAGTCGCTTAACCAACTGAGCCACCCAGGCGCCATGATCACAGATTTCTGCTATAACACGGCCATTTCCTCCCCCAACCCTCCACTCTACCTTCTCTTGTGCATTTGGCCCTTTTCTTGGGATTATCCTTCAACAGCTATAAGAGGCTGTCCTTACCTTTCCTTCTGGTATTAAATAGTGGTGGCCACCTACTAAAAATCTGACCATATAATAAATCAAATGATTACTGACTTGAGTGAAGTTTGCTTAAAGGTGACTGGTCTACCTTGTCAGGGAAGCTCCCCAGCAATGGATCCGATCAGTGGATTCATCCTGATCAGTAGGATTCATATCTGTAGTAGGGTCTAGTAGGGTCTAGACACCCTGGGACAGAGCTACTCACCTAAATATATGGTTTCCTTTAAGTATACATTGCCCCTGGCAGGCCTGTGTCAGCACCTGCTACAACTGGCCAGTAAGCGCTAAGATCCTGCAGGTAGATCCTGGAGAGGAGCCCCAAGATTTTGCCACCGGCATCAGAGAGGTCCTGGGAGCACAGGTCCCATTCTGGAAGCCTGCAGGGGCTTAGGCTTCAGACCCAGAGTGAAAATAACAGACACTCATTGCAGACTACACGAATTCTTGGATTGTAGTGTAAATCAAAGTTGCAGAAGGAACCACAAAAACTCGACCACGTTAACATATTTACATTTACATGGGCTTTATTTATATTAAACATGTGATATATTTCGAAGGAAAACAGTGGTACTTACGCAACACATGTGGCAGCAAGAATTATTTTAGACACGGACGGAAGACTGAATGGCTCCAAATTATTGGCATAATTGGTTTCCCAGGGATAAGCTTCAACAGCCAACAAACATGAAGTACCCCAGTAAATAAACAACAACAACAAAAACTAGACCCTGTTCGTTTTTGAAGAATTCCCATGGGAAAATCACAAAGGCCATTAAGCTCTGCAAATAATTCCATTACACACAGATATGTCACTCAGTGGCTAGATAAATATAAATTCACTGTTTTGGAAGGCTTTGGGGAAGGAAGCAGGAACTTAATACAATTATCAAACACACAACTCCTTGTCCAGGCTGAAGTTTTCTTTTAGAGACAAATGGGCTTAAAAAATACCTTGCCAAAAACTTGAATCCCTGAAACCACAGAAAGAGACTAGGCTTTGTACTTCTTTTTGTAATGGGCTTAATTTGGGCCCTTACAGAGATTATCTTTTATTTTTACCAGTAATTGCTTGTCTATATTTTAAGCGATTTGTATTACAATGCTCTTTATTATTAATGTTAGTTCTTAAAAATTCACAGTTCTCTCTTTTCTTTCTTCTTTTCTAAGGCACAATACTGACAATTCTTATGCGAAGCGACGATCCAAACTTTGGAAAAATAAATATCTGTAGTAGAGATTCACTTAGAGTATTCAAGGAATCATGCAATCAGCGTAGGCAACATCTGGCTCATAGTGAAAGGAACATTGTGCATTTAATAATTACAATTTAAAACACTTCAATGCTGTTAACATTTTAACAGTTTTTTTTTATTTTGCCATTTATTTCCTTGCAAAGTATTCAATCATGCAAAACAACTTCATATATGTGATCTCTGGCCTTTTATTTTTGCTCAGTTAAACCTTTAAAGGGATTTTGTGTGTGTGTCTTAAATGTCAGTGTTGAACCTTCATTGAGAGAAAATCAAAGCACAGATTGTCATCACATTATTCAATATGATGTTTTTGATCTTTTGAAGGGAGTTCTTCTCTCCATCATCTAAAAGCCTTAACATTTGATAAAGAAGGGACACTGCCCAAGTACTGGGCTCACTTACTAGCTTTCAGATGAATGAGAATGCTAATTACGTAGTGTAAATGGCAATGGTTTCCAAACTAAAAGGGAAGCATTGCTGGAAGAATGATAAAGAAATCTCAGAGGAAGAAAAAACCCTAGTCTGTGCCAGAGAGGAACCAAGGAAGGAAGAAAGGGAGGGAGGGAGGAAGGAAGGAAGGAAAGTAGAAGAAGACGTCATTGCTACAGCAGGGTTTTGGTTTTGGTTTTTTTTTTTGCTCTTAAGCAAAACACAATACTAAAAAAAAAAAAAACAACATACAAACAGATATCAGGAAAAGGTAACAAATGTACTTGAAAGATAAGGAAGACAGCAAAACTATTTAAAAGTCTGCCAATTCAATACTCTGATTTGTTTTCCTGATAAAATTAAATTCGAGAGAGGCTCACCTTAGTATAGTTTGTTTTATCAACTTCAGTTCTCTCTTGAGCTTTCTTTTATCTATAAAGTTTCTGTATAATCTTTCCAGGGAAAACTGTAGGAAAATACCATGCACTTCTATTTTAGAATCTCTTATTAAAAGCAAAATAACTACCAAAATCTCAGTCTTTCATTTTTAACGTCAAAGGATATGGCAACAAGGAGAAATAGACAGTGAGGGAAACTTTGAACCTATTGATAGTATTTTCTGAAAATTTTTATGTCATTACCAGGCAACACTGGAATCAGTTCTAAGAAAAATCTTAAGGAAACATAGTAACCTTTGAACATTATAATGTCAAAGAAAATCCCACGACAGTATGTTTACACAAATGACCATTCTGTTGACCTTCTTGAAAATCTCCACACTTAAGCCCTATTGATCATTTGCCCTATGGTTAGTAAAGACACCTGTCTTCTTCCTTTTGTTATTGCTCTTCTGTCTAGAAGAAACGAAAGAGTTTCAAAGAATCATAGCTCCCTTGTTTTCAAATGAATACAATTATGTAAATTTCAAATTTGTAAAACACTTGCATCTTTAAAAATTCTTTTTTCTTTTTCTTTTAAAGGGCTAAATTGGTTTCTAAGTCAAAACTAAGTAGATATTTTCAAAATAGTAGCAGAAATCAAATTTCCAACTTTAAAAATCTAAATGTCATTACATTTTGCTGTTATTGCTACTTTATCGTTTCTCAATCTAGGACTATTTTAACCGTTAGCACCGATTTATACAAGGAGAGCCTCCGTGATTTTCACGCAGGTCCATTTCCATTTTCAAAGTTGACCGTGGAGTTGGTACCCTGGAAAAGACTTAGAGGTATGATGACTTGATAAAGAAGTTGTTTGCTGCTATTTATAGAACTAAATCCCTTCATCCTGAGCCTAGAGTTGGTCCTTCATATCACAAATGCTATGCGGTAGCATGGCAGAGGAATTCTAGTTGACCTTCACTCATACTGTTCAAACACTGTGGATGCTTGTGGGAGGGTGCACTTCAGGAGCTGTTGGGGATGTGAATGGAAGGGAACAAGAATTTATGTGCTATATCCCATTCTTGGAATAAAGTGGGCCTGTCTTCCATTAAGAGGAAAAGAATATGCCAGGCTACCCACATCCCTGTAATATACCCTCTCTGTGTAGATTTGTGAAGGCAATTCCATTTAAATTACTGATTTGAAATAATTTGCCTTAGATCTGTGATCACAATGATCCATAACGTGGGGTTCTTTTAGATGAAAAAGAGTAGACTCCACTATCGGTGCTCTGGAGAGAGTTTTAAGTTGTGGTTCACAGACATGCCTGGCTTGTTCTTGGTCCAGGGCAGAACCCAGTGCAAACGTTAATCACTCTTGTCTAAAGGAAGAGCCACATTTGATTATAACCTGCCCAAGACCAGGCAGGACATCTTGGTTTCTATGTAATCTCTCAAAGTGGCTAGTCCTAGGTGAGCATTTAGTAAATGTTAACAGAGGGAATGAATTGGAAGAAATAAAACCATCATTAAAATGTAATTACGTATTGTAATATTTCATAGTTCATATGCTGGCGGGCTGCTAAGGCTCCACATATATTTTTGTGCTTTGAGTTTACTCTGCAATACGATTTCAATTATATAGTTTTAATTAGCGTCAGAAGCTACTGGGTATCTAAGGAGTTATTATAGCTTACATCCCATTGTCTATGGGAAGTTATTTTATGTAATTGTTCTGATAATACCAGCATAAATGTCTAAAAACAAAATATTAGGGAAAAGCATCTGTTTTATTGAACAATAAAGCATTTTTCCCTGATTCTTTTTTCCACTAGAGAGTTTTTTTATGATTAATGTATGTAAAATTACACATTAAATAAATAGATAAAGAGAATGAGGCCGAAATTCAAGCACTTTATACTTAAGAAACCTATATCTGCCTATTTCCTACAGACTCTGTTTTCAAGGGGAGGAAGGAAAGGGAGAGAAAGAGAGAAGGAATGGGCAGAGAGGAAGAAACTTTTCTTTGTTAGGAAAGGATAGACATGTTCTGTATTTTATAAGCCCTCCAATTCATATATGCCAGTCTCATTAGAAAAACTAATTGTAGAGTTAAATTTGATATAAAATCAGTGTGGCCCAAAGGCTCCAAACAGACTTGTTGTAATGATGCTTCACTGATTACTATATTCAGTGACAGAGATGATCAAGATTGCACGAGAGTCAGGCTCTGAAGCATCCAAACTACTAAAGGAACATGAAGTCAATCGCGAGTACTTGCTCTAACAGCCTAAGTGAATTGAACCCAGTGCTAAGTCATGAAAAGTCCACACACTATTTGAAGCAACTTAACTCATGCTCATTCCTAGACAAGTTATGAGGTAGCTGAAAAAGTAGCAAAGCATCTGCCAGAAGGCAAAGCAAAAGAAAAGGGGATAATTATGAAAGCATCAATATTTGACAAATGAACTCCTGGGCTATACAGTACTTTATATAAGTCCTTTGGGGGACCTTTGAGTTATAGGTGATATCTGTAAATTCCCCAAAAAGGAGACTCCAGTCTACCATATTCTTTGAAAGACTTTGAATGTGAAGTGCAGAGCTGCCCAAAAGAAGAGAGGCGAGCATTAGACACTTTTCACCTCTCTCTCAGCACCAGTGTAGATTCCTTTTTTTCAGTAAAGAGATGGCTGGTGCCCACGGACACCAGATAAGATCCATTCCACTAGGATGTCCAGTGTGGCCAGGCTAGGAACGCAAGTAAAAAGAACGTACAGTTCTTTTTCTCCTGACCCTAATTTTTGCTTGGAATACATTCACTAGCTTTTGGAAGATTGGTCATTAGACTACTGACATTTTCCTTCGCTTTCCAACCAAAATTTCTGCCATTTGGTGAGAGTATATTTTTTTCAGAAAGGCGACGGGAGCCTTGCCAAGCAAGCTCACTAAGTTTCTTGATTTTTAACACTGTAAGTAGCGTTACACATTATTTTTTCAGATACTGAGAGGGACCTCACTGCATCAGCTCACTGAACTGGAGATGTCAAAGAATGCTGCTTTCCTCCTGGATCAAAGAAGATGGCAACCTCCAAGGCCATCTCTGGAATGACAGTTGCAGAGGTTCCCATTTTTAGAACCAGAGGCTGATTAGAAGGCTAATAAAATGCCCTATGGCCAATTTAAGTTCTGGACATTGGTTGTGTGGTTATGCTACTCTGAGGGTTAACGTCATGTATCATCTGTCAGAATGTTCTTTAATTCCATAAAGTACGTAGAAGAGGCACTTTGGTTAAACACATGATATTAATAAATACCACTTTCTCCCTCCACCACCTGTAATGATATTTCTCATTATCATTGATGGGTTCAATACTGCAAATATCTAGGCTCAGTTCTTAGAGAACATTGTCTTATAAATGTGAATCTATCTCTTATAGCATTTCTTCATCATCAAAACGCCACCAACGCTCTCATTTCCCACAAATGTTGAGCACCAATAAGGTACACTATCATGCAAGAACTCGACTATTTCTCACTATGTAACAGGAAAGTCTTTCTTTGACAATTTCTTCCAGACTTAACATATTCTTTGGTTTAATTTAAAGTTAAATAAGCAAATAAAATAAGGAGGCTCTGACGAGGATGAGAAACAATTCAAATCCAAGCTAGTGAGTTCCTTCCCTCTATCTTTCCTTCCACTCCCTCCCACGTAGTAGTAGAAAAGGTGAATGATGGGTTGAGCCACCCCTGGTCATAATTCCATGCTGTCTTCACCTATTCGAAAACCTGTCATAATAAACAGTGTGTTTATCATTCTTGCAGACTGCCCATTAAAACCTTTCTAGTAATAAACTGTTACACAATGAGTAAACCATGTGATAATTGCACCTTCAAGATTCATACTCATATAGCAATAATAGACTCCTCTTAAACTTCTGAGAGAGTCTGCAGCACCTTTGAATAGATTTGTCTCCATTGTGTAGAGAAAAATGCCTAAAATGAGAAGCCCACTGATGGCTGTGTGTACACGTGAATACATTGTTGCTGCCTCCTGGGCCAGAGGAAAGGCCTGGTCTGTGGTCTGCATGTGTTCTCTGATGCATGAAAAGAGTAGACAGAATTCAAATCCAAGTTCATGAGTACAGTCAGGCCCTCTGAGCAGCTCCGGAACAGAAGTCCCCAATTCTCGGCCATTGACAGAAGCATTTGGGTTCCTACCGTCTTTCCGAGGCACTTGAGGCAAAGGCTGAATCCCACCTGCGCCCCTCAAACCTCTGAGCTGTCGCCGTGGTGGCTCTGCGGGGGCGTCACGGGCTTGCTGCTGCCTGAGCCCTTCAGCGCGCCCTTCCTCCTGGCGCCCTTCTTGTTCCTGCACATCATCACTGCGATGGCAGCGAGGCAGACGGCGAGTAAGCCCACCGCGGTGCCTCCGACCACGGTGACCGGGCTGACGTCGTCGGAGCTGGGCCGGTTGAGCTCGCGGGGGAGGACGCCTTCGGGAGGAACTCGCCCCTGGGGGCTCTGCTGCCTGTTGGGGCGCCGCAGGGCAATGTGCTGGATGTTTGTTCCCCGGTTGTTGTTAGCACCTATTTCCCACGCCAGCGGGGGTGGGCTCCTGATCTCCCTCTTCTTCCGGCCCTGGCTCATCGCCGGGGGCTTCCCCGGACTCACTAAGGAGTGGTGCTGGTACTCGGTGCTTCTTTTACCAATGCCTCGATTGGCGTTGTCTTTTGATCTTACCGTGTAGATCGTGTGTATGTACCATTCCCGGCCCAGGGCGACCTAGGAAACGCAACTCTGTTAGAAAATTAAATACCACATCGACCTAATTCACGATTCCTGCAAGAGAAATTAGTGGCAGAGACAATAACTGATAATTTACTTTAGTCTGCAGAATAGATACACTTCATATTTTTGCGTGGGTACTACGTGCAAGGCTTTGTGCAAAGCACTCCAAAATATTTTGTGCAGCTCTTGAGGGAGTGTGTGCCGGTAAATATTTGGTAATCTGTGACTTGCCACAGAATGTCAGAGCTGTCACACGGTTTTAAATTATTCATCTAAAAAAGGTAAAGAAGGATGCACAGCGGTTACGTAACTTGCCAATGTCACTCAACTAGCTTGTGGCCCAGGCAAGACTAGAACTCAGATCTTCTGACCCTCAGGATTCTCTTTCAGTACGTCTGGCTGCATAGTTACATATAAGACCATAGAAGGGGTCCGTTTTTCTGCTTTTTCTAGGGCCTCTGAAAAGAAGGGAATTTCTGATGGCTCTCTGAAGCCTTTAGGATTTAGAAGGGTCTAATGCTTTGAGAATTAACAGCGAAAATAATTTTAAAAAATTATTCAGAGTAACAAATATGCTTCCTTAAGATTCCTTCTTTAGGATGAATACAGGTATCGTGTCTGCAGCCCATCCTGTGTGGACAATTTTCAGGAAATTTCCTAAAAGGTGTACTTGCTCCCCCAAGGATTCACAGTGGGAACACATCTCTGAATCTTGTCTCATTTGTCTGCTCAGGGTTATGGTCGCCTGTGTCTCCTTCTACCGTCTGTCATTCGGTTAGGATATTCTGTCTTGATTTATAAAGTCTTTGAGAGTGGAGATTTATGAGCTGTGCCTGCTTCTTTTTCTGAATCCAGCAGTTCATACAAGATCACTCTAATAAAGATGGTCATGAAAAGTCAATAGGAAGGAAGTTTGAATAAGAAAAGCAGGGTTTCAAAACATCAGACTTAGATTTATATTTTGGGCTGAATAAGGATCTTCATTACCCGTAGACTTAAAATAATATGAATGCACTAATAAAAATAGTAATAGCTAGGTTTTACAGAATGCTCACCACGTGCTCACTATGGTTCTGTGTTGTTTACCTACATTACCTTATTCAGTGTTACTATTACTTACGCAATATTACAATCACTGCCCTTTAATAGAAGACACTGGATCATCCCACTATTAAGTAATTTGCATATGCTCACAGAGCTAGTATAAGTAGCTTATTACTGGCCCACCTGAAAGAGTGGTGTTGAGTCGACTTTAAAGCCATCGGATCCAGGCTGATTCACTAAGAGAATAGCTTCAGGGTCATCTGCTGCTAGCTTGGCATTAAATAGGACATTTCCAAAACTGGTGGCTTGTGTCTCTGGCTGAGCTTTGTCCTTTAAGCAATAAAAGAAAATGAGGAGTCCTGTAGATAATGCCAATTTTTGCAAGTACAGAATGGTTTCTTTAGGTTTGTGCAAGTACAGATTACCATAAAATGTCACCATTTCATTTCATTTGAAAAGATGCTATTGTTTTTAAATACCAGACAAAAACACTGAACTTTGATCATCTGTCTAATTCACTGTTTGGGTCAAAGCACTTACCACAATTTTAAATCTGTATAAGAGTGAAGGAGAGTCAGCTAAGCAGCCGTATTCTGCATTTGTGGGACTGTATTTGGGAACATAGCCGTCAGCTCCAGTGCACAGGAAAACCTTCTCAATGCTGCAGTAAAAGGAGTCACCCAGATTCTGGACAGGATCTACCATGACACGCCCATAAATGATGTCACCTGAAACAGAGATGTGGAAGGGTCATTTCTGTTACACGGTAAGGCGCGTCCACGTGACACGGCATACCATGGTGACAATGATGCCCCTAGGGAGTATTTCCTTCTTTTCCTAATCTGCCATCAAATGTTGGAAGACCTTCAGGATGTCACCCACTCCCAGGCCTCAGGTGAGACCACTTTTGGGGACTGGACCACAAATGACTGCAGATTTATTGACCCTCACATGCTCAGTCAAGGCTTGGCCTATAATTTAATATTCATAATTCCACTGTGGTTTAAAGTCCGCTTCATATAAATAAGTTACTTGGCAGGGTGCAGACTAATAAAGTATATAAAAAAGAAAATATTGATAAAAAGCTGACTTGGCTTTATTTGATTTTGAAGGAGAGTTTGCGGAAATCCCCTGGTAGTCAATCATCTATTTCACAACTATTACTGAACTCCCACCATGCATGTTAGGCATTTTACTAGGTGCCAGGAACACGCCACTGAGCAGGACAGATATAACTCTCACCCAGGAGGCATTTACAGCCTCAAGTAGCTGCAGAATTTGAGTCTATGCGCCTTGAAAGAAGATTCAAGAAAAAAACCTAGATTTGTTCCCAAAGTCACTTAGGTAAGTGAAATAGAGATTAATTTCCCCAGACGAAAAACCATCCAGTAACACATATCCAATTTCAGTGGCCCTATGCCATCCCTGCCAAAGTGGCAAAGACCCAGTAATATTCTCAAAAGCATACCAGACGTGATAATTTCCCCTCTCCAACATGATCCCAATAAAGCAAAGCAGAGCAGATGCCGTGGCAAACAGAGCAGATGTCTCATTTGTGAAACGAATACCTTCTGCAAAGGCAACATCACTTTCTTGCCCAAATCCCATCGATCCGTCAGACAACCAGAGACTCTTCTTGGAGAGGAGGTACATTTGGGTGTTCAAGCTGAACTCAGCTGCCACCGGATCGCTGACCTAAAACCAAGTGTAAAAGCCCTTTTATGGTTTTTCGATTGCTCTCGTGGTGCACAAATACATTATTCACGGACACACTCGTGTGCTGTCCACGGACGTGTAGATTCCTGAAGACTACACTGCAATTTTGACATCCAACCAAACTAATGTAGGGAATTGTAACACTGGCCTTATCCTTCGCGATAAGGCAAAACTGGCGAGGTGAAATGTTTTGATTGGGACTAAATAGCATTACTTGAGCTCTTTTCTTTTGGTTTCACAGGGTGTTTTATGGGACTTATATATATCACGCTCAGTGCAAAGCCAACACTTAGTCTTCGTCCTTGGACAAAAAGTGCCATCATGTTTCTTTTACTATATAATGGCAATTAGGTACTTTGAGATGGCAAGAACTACAGGATATCTATTTTCCTTGAAGATCAAGAACGAGACAAAGACGTGCAGAAGAACTCTAGGGAAAAATCCTCAAATCTCCAAGGCAGCACACTCCAGGAGGAGACACGATCACGTAAGAAAAAAAACAACCCTTGTGTACTCTTAAACTCTGGATTTTATATCCTGAACCAACGATAGATAAAGGGCAGTTCTTTCCTCCTTCCTTCTTCTCTTGCTTCCCTCCTGTCTGACTTCCTTTTTTCTCAGCATGCGAGAATTTAAGTCATGGTGTGAATTTTTTTCTTTCTTTTTCCTTCCTTCCTTCCTTTCTTTTTTTTTTTTTTTTTCTGATACAAGTAAGCCACGACCTTAATAAAGTGGAATTGGAGAAGTCCGGGGAAAATAACTGCAAGAGATGCACCTGTTGGAACCGTATGTCGAGGTCAAAGGTGACAGGCTCCCGGGGGTTGCAGGTGACTGGCAGGCGGTACTCTTGATGCGATGGAGTGGTGCAAGGCAGGAGTTTCACTGTGTAAGTCCCCGAATAGTCACGTACCTTTAAGGAGAAGGGAGGACATTTATGTTTTTCATTTAAGAATCTGAGGTGTTGTCCCAGGCCACGGAAAAGGAAAATTAAGAGCCCGAGTCGCTTACTGCAAAGTCAGACACAAAGCTCCATTGCTGCACCGGCTGGTTATAGGTCGGCTCACTCCTTATGAGGCGCAGGGAGAAGGTCAGGCCTGGGTGATCAGCTGACACGATCATTGAGCTCGTGAAGGATGCTAGAAAAGTGCCGATAAGAATAATGGGAGAGTGGTTTTAAGAGTGCATGACAGCTTAGAGTTTTCAAAGCACCTGACTGTACATTGCTTGCTTTTATTCTTAATACTAAGCCTTCAAAGCCCCAGTGTTGGTATAATTAGCCTCATTCCCCGCCCCCACACACCCCTCCCAGAGAATGTGCGCTGAGACTGATTATAGTGACTCTCCCAAGATCACACAGCTAGGATGTTTGCCTTCTGATTCCTAATTCAGTGCTTTTTCCACTCTATGATTCTGTGAAAAGATAATTGTGTAGAAATGCTCAAATAGTTCAGGGCCACTTTCCAGGGAAGGCACAGCAGTGTAATAAAAGCTGATGTGAATGCATTTATTGTGCGCCGAAGCTATGAGCTGAGCTTTAGTCTCTTAGCATCCACAGAGCTGGGCAAAACCAATTTATAAATGGAATCTAATTTTAATTAGATTGCCTGCAATTGCGTCTAAACAAAGATTCAGTTTATTAGAAAGGTAGACATGTGCAAAGGACCTTTAAAGACCAAGAAATCTTTATTTTCCAGAACTGTCAAGTACTATAAAGCAAAATGATTCTTTTTGGGTCGGCAGTTCTTGTAGCTCAGCCTCATAAAAATACAATGAACTCTCTTTCTCTTCTGAATTTTGGCCCTATTCTCTCCTTGTTTGGAGCGCAAACTCAGAAAAAGGAAGGCAGGAGAAGACCTCAAGTGAACTATGTTCCCCGCCCAATCTGACAATAGTTGGCAAATGGGCAAAATAATGCAAAACCAATTTAGTGATATGGAGAGTCAAATAAAAAACTATTTCTGATGAAATATCCTTTATATTTAAAAAAAGCCTGGACACTGGACTTGAGTGACTGCTTCCTTATTGGTATTCAAAGCACAGCGCCTCATAGTAAAATGACACAGCCAATCTTTATTAAAGATAATTAGTTAACACGTCTGAAATATAAGTATCAGTACCACTTCTGGCTCTATTATAAAGGTTTCTTACAGTATCCAGAAAAGAGTTGCGAACAGAGAAGTGCTTGCTGAACAAACGACTTAAAATTCAACTTTTTATGCAACAAAAATGGAGGTAGAGAAAGGGATTGTGGTTGCTATGCTCTTTATCTAAAGAAAACACCACTTAAAATGAACTCAGTAGAGTTTTTGTTTAAATTTATTTTCATCATTTTGTATTTTCTCAAGTCTGCATCCGTAACGACGATTTTGTAGCTTCTGAGATGTAGCTGAACGATTATCAAGCCCTCCTGCGGATAAGTCACGTGGACAATTCACTTGAAGTTAAGGGTTTCGAAGCTCCTCGGGCAGCGTGGGGTATGGGAAATCTGTGTCCTGTGGTGCAGGGAGTGGCTCCTGGTGGATAACAGGGCTTACCGGGATGGGACAGCACGAACAAACCGTGGAACTGAGCCTCTGTCTTGAAGTTCACCACCAAGCGCCCCTCTTCACCGATGCGCATGCTTGTTGGGTAGAGAGAACCTACGTGGGATAGTGCACAAGAGTGGAAATATTGGTAACCACGGACTCCTTACGTGCAGGATTTCTTCCAAATTTGAATTCGGATACTCTCATCTTTAAGCATTCTAGCCAAAAGCTGTTATCAGAAGAATTCTGAGTGATAAGAGAAGCAGAAGTGTTTTGTTTGTTTGTTTTGCTCTGTTTTCTAACAAGAAAAGATGTCAAGAAGGGAGGCAAAATAGAATCAGGTAACACGAGTGAAGTCAATATGAAAGAGAAATAGACAGATTGAGTACAATGGGCCAAGATTTCTTTTTCCCCTAAAAGCATTAGTCTACATAAATGAAGCTGTAAATTGGGAGAGACACAGTAAAATTGTCAAGTTTTAAAGATTTGAACATGGAAGTGGGTTTGTGTTCTCCAGAATGATTCCAAATTTTATAGACTTAATACAAACTCTGGAGCTTTTCCAAAACTTTTAGCAGTTTGACCAAAGTTGGTTCCAGAGATAAGAAGGAACCATGAGATCCTTACGTAGAACTTGAGAACCACAACTGGATTCACATTAAAATTTCCTTAAATATACATTTTCTAAGGCAAGATATGTAACTAAAACATTGAAATATAAAATAATCTGGGATAATCACTCAGGGTGATCATATTGCCTTTCACATAGCTTTAAGGCGATCTTAATCTGTGTAAGATAGCAAATTTGGTGCACTGTCAATAGTACTTTCCCTCTCTGGCTCATAAAAAGGAATGCAGGCACGATGCTCAGATAGGCATGGAACCCAAACAGTAGCATGTGCCTGAAAAGAAACAGTATTCATTGTACGGATAGGTAAATTAGCTTTATGCCTGTGGACTTTGAATTATTATTCTGATTGGAGATTGAAACAAAGTTTGGCACATGCTTATGGGCACAGCAGTTAGCTGTACTTACCACCACTGTTCCAAGACATTCTGCTAAAATATCGCAGAATAATAGAATTTTAAAATAAAAAGAATTTTAGAAGTCTGTTCTACCTTTGAGAAGAAACTGAGTGCCACAAAGGTTAAGTAGTATGTTCAAGATCACACAGCTAGTTAGTGGTGGAAGCCAGAACTAGAATCCAGGATCTGTCTCATTTTCAGAAACAAAAAAACCCATAATTTTTTCTCTTGGGTTCATTTCTTATTTTCAATTGGAACTGCCTCTATAGGTTTTCTAGAATCTAGGAAACGCATGGACTGTGTTGCATAACGCATACATGATGAATCGCCTAAAATGGACTGTAAGGGTTAAATACCCATGAAATGTATACAGTATATTTAACAGTCACATGTTATCACAGTTTGAGGCACTGATATGGTTTTGTTAGTTCTTCCATGACAAAACGAAATAGTTTTAAAATACTGATTATAAAAATAAAATCTATTGAAAGTCGCTTCTATTATTTTTAGCTACAGTAAAAAAAAAATCCCAAGTAATTCAGATAGAAGAGGAGACTCATCCGAATTATTAACCCACCTTGGAGTTCGGCTTCTGGTGGGCTGCTGATTCCATCATTCCACAAGATGGCAGTGTCATACACAAAAGTCAGGCGGAGCTCCGACTTCAAGTCAAAATGTTGCCAGCCTCCTACCCCAACCGGGGAATGGAACACGTAGGAAACATACAGAGGCACTCGAAGGGTCACATAGGACTGCACTAGATTTAAGACCTAAAACAATAAAATCATCTGTCAACATGATTCAGTGTTAACTAGAGGAGCCTAACTTTGTACAAGCCACTTTCTCCTTTCACTCAGCTAGAGATTTTGAGTGGCCGTTAAGGAAAGGAAGTGACAGCATTTGTATTATTGCCCCCTCACTTAATTTTGGAGAATTAACTAGTCGTTACCATTACCTTCCTTTGCAACAAAGGATACGCGGCAGCAATCGTGAAAGGAAACGGCATTGTTTTGAGCATATTATACCTACACAGTCCTTTTTGTTTCATAACAGCTTTATTAAGATATAATTCACATACCATATAATTCAGTTAATTAAAGTGGACAAACCAACAGTATTTAATGTATTCAGGGAGAGGTGTAACTTTGACCACAATCAATTTTAGGACACTTTCATCACCTCCAAAGGACATTCCAAACCCATTAGAAGTCATGCCTTCATTCCTTCCTCCTCCCTTCCCCTGGTAGCCACTAGCCTATATTCTGTCTCCATGTATTTGCCAGTTCTGGACATTCCATATATATGGAGTCATACAGTATGCGGTCTTTTGTGACAGGCTTCTTTCACTTATGTTTTCAAGGTGCTTCCGTGTTGCTGCACATTTCAATACTTTTATTTCTGAATAACATCCCATGGCATGCATATGCAACACATATTTATCTGTTCGTCAGTTGATGGACATTTGGGTTACTTTCTGTCCCGAGCTATTATGAATAACACTGCTATAAGGTACTTTTAAATTATTACATAAAGGAATATAGAAGAAAGAAAGAAAGATCTAGAAGCAAACATGTTGAGTAATGACATGTAATACTTAATATGTCGCAAAATTAATTTTTAGTTGAAATGAAGTGACTTGCTTTGAATTTTATACTTTTCTTCCTCAGGTATTTTGTAGGAGAGTTAGGAATAGTGGAGGATAAACTAATATTCATTTATTGAGCCCCTATGTTCACAATAAAAGCTATTTAATATTTTTACTCTCCCCCATAATTATATTTATATGTATGTGTGGATGGTTGTATGTGTGGATGGATGGATGGATGGATGGATGGATGGGTAGATGGATGGATGGATGGGTAGATGGATGGATGGACAGATGATGCAAAGAAAAGGAAAAAGAGGAAAATTAAGGTTCAAAGAAATAAAGCAAATTTCTCCCAGAATTCTTTAAGCTTTCTGAATGGCCCTGCCAATATTAGAACCCAGCCTTTGGCCTGTGCTTTTCTACTCTATCACACCTCATCACATTCCAAACAAAGCTGAGGGCAGTCCTAGGATCACCTAACCAACGTTATCATACTTAATTCTCAAAATAGCTCTGCAGAAGAGCTGGGCAAATATAACTATCTTCTACACAAGAGGAGATGAACTTAGGTCAGATCATACTCATTAGAAGTTCCAGCTGGGCTTTCTAATACCATTCTAATTCTCTTTCCACACTGAGCTGGCAACAGGGATCATACACATGTGTTAGTGAATAATATAAAGAATGATAACAATAATGTATCACTTTGTCATAGAGTAAAAAAATAAACTCCTTAAATCACAAAAAAATGATGACCTGAATCACCAACTAAAATATATAAAAAGAAAACCATCATCCAAGCAAATTATTTAATTCCTAGCTGTGTAGTAACTAGCACTCCTCATCATCTGCTAACACAGCCAGCAGAAGAGGGGCCTTGGAACCAAAGTTCTTCGAGATAATATTTGTTAAGGGTCAATACTATTGCACTCAGTGAGAACTTGATCTTGTAGTGCAATTTTAACAGTGTAAAGAAGAGTGATCAAGTCAATGTATATGCCACTGGAAATTAACATTAATATTTCATCCTGTGATTTTAATAAACCATCATCTTTTAAAAATTAGGCTTTAGGAATGACTTTCCAGTTAAACTGTCTAGGTGCTGATGATTTTTGCCAACATTATACTCTATCTATCAAATGTTCCTGAGTGTGCTATTTTGGACAGAACTATTAATGTTCACTTCTTATGAATGAGTTACCTGGCACAAAGCTCCCTGACTAATTTTTATTTTCTTTCATTTGATTCTTGTGGCAACCTAGAGCTTGATCATTTCTGGACATGGAATCAGTATCTTATTGCATTTTCTTGTTCACCATGGCCAGGCCTTCTTTGTCTGCTTGGAACTTCTGTCTAGAGTAAATGGGGCCAATGGAACAATATCAATCATCCAGGTCGCCTACCTGTTCATTCTTGTAAAATTGAAGAATGCAGTGCCATCAATCTAACTTCTGGATATCATCTTAATGAGCACTTAATTTTCTTTCAGCCTGAATCACAGGACTTTTTAAGGGATTTGTTTATACTAAAAGAAATAGACGTTAAATCTGGTACACTGCTCTTAAAGCAACCATAACATGACACAGGAGTTTACATGTCCTTACAGACATTTGAAGTGTCTTCAACAAAACTAAGTGAGCCTTTAAATTCCAAATTTAAAGGGAAAGCATAAAATGCAAGTTTTCTGGCAAAGGTAACACTGGTATAAAGTTCTACTACTACTACTGTTGGTACTAAGTGGCTAGTAACGGGCAACAAGTATGTATTTGGGGAGGTATTGGCAGCTGAAGACACAAAAGCAATTCTGCTGGGCCGTGTCAGATAGTAGGAGAAGGGAAGAATAAGGAGGAAAATGAATATGCTAAAAGAGAAATTATACACGGAATATTGCCTAAGGTGGGGACTAGTGTTGACATAAATCCCAGTGGAGTGAATTCTTCACTCATTTGGGCATCCAGCTTAAGCTATCCAAATTACATATTGCTTTATTGAAATAGGCAGTATATATATGCACTGTTTCTCATAGGAGTTGGCAGTATACACATGCACTAATGAAAACTACCTAGATTTACTTTGTTCCTTTGCAACTTTCATTTGAGCAAGGCCATATTCTACGTGTGTTGAACTTAAGCCGTGAAGAAGTCAATTAGCTTGCCCAAGATTATTCAGTACAATCAGTGCTAACACCCAAGTATGTAGACCAGAACTATTCAGTGAAAATATGTGAGCCACACATGTAATTTAAAATTTTTCTAGCAGCCATACTTCAGAAAGTAAAGAGAAACATGTGAAACTAATTTTAAGAATACTTAATCCAATATATCAAACATATTACATATTAATATGCAGTCAGTATAAAGTAAATTTTGAGACTCTTTTTTTGCTACTAAGTCTTTGAAATCTGGTTTGTATTTTACAGGAACAACACATCTCAATTTTGAATGCTCAATAACCACACATGGCTAGTGCTTACCATATTGGGCAGCACTGATTAGACTCTTCTACCCAAGGTCTTTAATTGGACCACACAGGTTGAAAACAGTAATCATTTTAAAATATGTTATAATCCAATATCTACCCTCCTTTATGTGGGATATGTGGTTTGTGCTCACTTCAAAGATTAAAAATTGGACTAGAGCTGTTAAAATATTATCTGAGGGCTACCACTGGTGTGGATTTCCCACTGATTGAAATTTCTGTTGCTCCTCTTGTTTCCAGAAATATGTCTACATCATCAAGATGGTGGTGTTTGTGAATGTGTAAAGAAGGCTCATAAATCTCAATAGCTTGAAGTCTCAGTAAAGCATGGACTTAGCTACTCAGGCGAGAACACTGTTTTAACAAGTTAGAATCCTTAGGCAAGGGATTAGCAGTAATAGCAGCCTACACATCCAGGAACACTTGGAAGAAAGAGACCTTGGCTTCTGTCCAATTACAAGCCTTTCTAAAGGCCTATGGGATCAGAGATGCACAAGGGAGACCCTGGAATGAGGTAGGGTCAATAGTGGTCCACAGATTCTTTAGTATTAAGGACAACTCTATAGGATATTTACAATAATAGAATTAGAAATTATCTAAATGACCAACAATAGAAGAATGGCTAAATAAGTTATGATGACACACAAGGTAAAATATTATGTAGCCATCAAAAGTCATGTATCTAAAGAATTTTCTTCGTCATGAGAAAATGCTCACAATGTTAAGTTAAAAAGCAGTATACAAGATGGTATAAATAACATTACACTGCTACTATTAAAAAATGTGTATGTACACTGGAAAACACTAAAAAATCTGTACGTGCACAGTGATAGTGGAATAAGATTTTTTTTTTTTTTACATTTTTTTAGTTTCCCAGCTTTCCACTGTGCTATCATTACTTAAAAAACAAAGAAACCAGGGAGCTTGGGTGGCTCAGTCAGTTAAGCATCTGTCTTCAGCTCAGGTCATGATCTCAGGGTCCTGGGATGTCCTAGGATCAAGCCCTGTGTCAGGCTCCCTGCTCAGCAGGGAGTCTCTTCTTCCTCTCCATCTGCCTCTCCTCCCCACTTGTGCTCTCTCTCTTCTGTCTCAAATAAATAAATAGAATCTTAAAAAAAAAAACAAAGAAACCACATTATTAAAAAAAATAATTGACAAAGTTGACAAACTAAGAAGTAACGTGCTCCAGGTAAGCTACACATTTTGGATTCTTCTTATTTCTTGTAAAAAGATTTAGAGTAACATACATCTGTAAAAGAGTAAATCCAAGTACTAAGCGTAAAATACTGGGATGGAAAGAGATGACTTCTAAAGTATATTCATGCCCTAAAGTTCCATGTTTCTAAATCCCAACACACAGTAACAAGGAAGAAAAATTATTCCTCAAACCAAGCAACTAGGAAAAAACACGTTTACTTTTCCAAAATCATGGAAAATCATGTCTTCTCATAAGTAAATTACAATTTGATGTTTTCAGTGCAAACTTACTTGGGGTTGCATTTCTGTAGCTTATTTATTCTCCTTGAAGGATGTTATCAGTTGGTGTTTACCCAACAAGGTAAGAGCTAAGATTCTGACCTCACAAGACCAATAGCCAGGCTCCTGAAAAGTGGAATGAATTGAGGGCGTTCATTTGTATAAGAAGTTGTTTTCAAGAGAAAAGTCGCCACCAAAAATATCCAATAGTTTTA